TAGCCAAGCCACTAGAGACTAGATTACTAGCTCTCTTTGATGACATTATTATATTTTAATTAGTTCAGCCTATAAGAGCAATTCAAGTCATTTAAAGGTCTTCCTGTAACCTAGAATTATATCTTTTTATTACAAACTTGAAAATAACAGCTGTCCAATCTTCCAAAAAAAAAAAAATACTGCCTTATCCTTACTCTTCTTATCTTTTTACATTATCCTGTAAGTTAAGCATGAGTGTTGCATAATAGTAACAAGAAGATTCATAGGTTCATACTTGAAGTTAGAGATTGGTAATTTAAGTCTGGAATAAACCTTAGATCCAACCCTAAAACAAGGAAACAAAAGTGGTGCAGAATTCTCAGTTAATTGGGCTCTCTGCTATTTAACTGCCATCCACATAATTATTCATTGAAAAACTGGGATGAAGGAATTTTAAAAATTTAATATTTTACTTTAGTTTATATATATATATATATATATATATATATATATTTCCATTATTCTTCTTTATTGTACAATGCATGCTTTCTCCTGTCAGGTGTAGTCCCCACAAAATTCCTACCACCAATTCACTTGTGAACCATCACCATAGTCCCTTGTGTAAGAACACATTCCCTCCCCTGCTTTAATCCCACTCCCTCCCTCTCCTCTGCAGGGTGTTGCTGATTAATAGTTACCTATTAATTTTTTTAATTTATGGTAATTTTTTTCCTGCAACTTTATTTGGTTTCCCTATATTCTTCCTATAAGTGAAACCATCCAATATTTTTCTTTTTCCTTCTGACTTATTTCACTGAACATCATTCCTTCTAGCTTCATCCATGTTGCTACAAATGGAATGAGTTTATTTTTTGATTGCTTACTAGTATTCCATTGTATATGTGTGTGTGTGTATAAAACATCATCTTGAAGGATTAAGGAAATTTTATGAAATCTATATTTCTGGACTACGAATACATTTTGGAGACTGGTAAATTTCTTGAGTTTTATGCCAACTTATTTCTCTATTATTTCCATTTCTAGAAATTCTTCATCTCATTTACTTCTTATTGATTAATAACATGGGCATGTCTGTTACGTACCAGTCACCATAATCAACAGGCAGATCTAATTTTTTTTTTGAGCAATTAGAGATTAAGGGAGTAAATGATGCAGATGCAGAGGAGGTCAAGGAATCTAGAAATTTGATCATGTAGGTTAGTTGAGTGAAATATACAGGACCTGGTTCATTTTAATCTATTTAGAATAAAATTTTAATCCTAAATTGTTTTAATCTAAAATTTTGTCTACTGCATAGACCAGCCAGCTTGAAAAACTAAGACTTTCTCTAGCTACTATGAAAAATTAAATGAGCAAGATGGGGAATAGGGAAAATGTGTCCAACTTGATCCAAAAATGCTAGAAGCTTATCAAATTGTGGGAATGCCTGTGATAAAGGAAACCAGTTCTATTTATCAACTGAGCTAAAGTGTGAGCACTAGCCAGACAGTTACAACAGAAAATAAACAGCTGGAGTTAATTTTCCTGCTTCAAGCTCCAAGTGTAGAGTTAGATTCTGCTACTGTAGATTTGAAGTCACTCCTTGGTAACCCTATTTAGAACCCATCTTCTTCATGACAGATAAACTCTTATCTTGGATGATAGCCTTTTCAGCCTGCGGTCCCTGCTATTCCAACACCCTGTTTCCTGTCATTAACAAGCATCTCATTAAGTCAGTCTCCTTGTTCCAAACTATCTTTGGTGGAACGTATCTTTAGAGTTAAATTATAAGCCCAGCAGGGCACCCACTGCATCTAATTGATTTTCCCTATTACCTAACATTTCTGCTGGTGCTTAATGAATCGTTCACACTCCTTTAGAATTTAGTATTCCTTTTTTTTTTTTTTTTGCAATAATTGAGAATTGACTGTACTACTACTATTTAAAAAAAAAAATAGCAGCATCTAAAGCACCTTAGCAAATCTGATCTATTCATTGGTGGGATGAATTCTAAGCAGGGATCAGAGACTGCAAAAGGCAACTCAGTTACCCAGCAAGAGGGAAGTACTAGGAGGTAATGAAAGAGAAGATGTATGGTTGGAAAATCTGACTTTGAGTTCTTAATTTCACTGTGTGACCTTGAAAACTACCTTGAATTCTCCTGGACTTTGTACTATTAAGGCAGTTATATAGCCCCAGATATTTAAGAACTCTAATATTTGAGTTTACAAAAAAAAAAAAAGAGATTTACTCCAAGAACAATTTTGAAGGAAGACCTCAACAAATTAAAGATACTTCCTTCCCTTTTCCACAGCCAAGTTCAACAGCTTATCCCATTGTCATTCTACATCACTGTTTATAATTTTCCCACTTTCTAGCCTAGTATTTTTTAATAATATATTTCCTTAGTAATCCCACTCTAATATTTGTATTGTATCCTTGCTTTTTCCTTGTCTATCACTCATTTCTCCATTAGTAGATTCCTAACTTCTTCCGCTTTAGACAACTGCCCCTACCATATCACTGTGGATAGATTCTCTTGAAAATATAACTGAAAGAAGTATGTCATGGTTCTTTATGCATTTCCAGTGTCACACACTGGATACGAAATGTACTTTATTGACATCTTCAGGATAAAAGTGATTGCATTTTAAATAATAGTTTGAGGCTGACAGAGTCCATTTTCCTACAGAAAGACAATGTTTCCCCCTTAAATTTATATGCACCTTCTTTTCACATATCTTCTAAATTTTCTATAGTTTACCTTTTCATGAGATTTTTCATTTTATCTCATTTTAGATGAATATTAATCCTAACATTCCAACCTCTTGATCTCTTATTCTTCCATTTAAGATAACACTAGCACATAGGAATCTTTCACCTATCCTCTCAAGACTTTCACCTAGTTTCAAGAGGTGGATAATCCTGGATAAATAATTGAAGGAAAAAAAAAAAAGAAGTCTGTCTTTGATAACATTTAGAAGTTATTTTTCTTTTCTGTTTGGAGTTACCATCTTCTAAAGGTCTCTTGTGCCCCTTTCACCAGTCAGTGGATTCGGTGGGTTTTCTGAACTTCCCACCTTTTTCTGGTCTCCCTTCCTGCAACTAAATTTTTTCTGTCTAGAGTCCCACTTGTTCAGGATGCTCTTAAGATTGGAAACATTTAATGTTCCATGCACGAACTATTAGTTCACATATTCTCTTTCCCTAGGCAAGAGTATAATTACCAGGAACACTTCAGGTGTTTGGGTTCATATAAAGTTGCACAAGTGAAATATTTTTGTAAGTTTGACTTCCATCTTCTCTCAATATGCCATGTCCAGCAGAATTTGAGTAAAATTGGAGAAAAATTCTAACGTAGAAAATTGATATGCCAGTTCCCAGCTCCTTCACAGATGAGGAAGGAGCTTATAATAAAACTTTTTAAAGATAAAATTTCTTAATGAAACAATTTATTCACATGAGGGGTGCTTTTTAAATGAAATGGAGCTGTAAGGAAAGTATACTATCTCAAATTTCAGTTAATTAGCAACAATAGATAAAAGTTTTCAGTTTCTTTATGCTCTTATTTCTAACTTGAATTTTCATCACTTTAGAACTTTATGCAAATTTATTCCTTTCTCATACACTCTCTTCTGGATTTCCTTTCATCATTACTCTGAATAAAATATGACACACATATTGCCTCAAATCCTTCTATAAACTATTTGCCAAGTTCACCATTTACACAGCACTTGGAAACACAGTGGCATATTTAATTCTCACTACTCTGGGTGATAAACACAGAAGTCCCCATGCCCACTTTCTTAGGACAGTCAGTGCTCTAAGAAGTTGTGATTCGCTCCTCAAGTCTGTGCACCAGAACCAAGAAATCATCTCGTCTTCTGACCATATTCATCACCCTAACTCTTTTACTACTGACATAGAACCTTCCTTGGCATAATTATGGCAAGCTTTTTCTTTAGGTGTTGTTTCCAGTAAAAACTGGGAAAATAAAAATATTAATGATTTTAAGTTTTATATGCAAACTCCACATCCATGTATTCACATAACACCTAATGATTTAAAATTTCACTAACTAAATTCAGAAAGGTAAGTGAACATTAACTTCTCTCTTAAGTAAGATGTCAGGTGCTGCAAGCAAACCTATGGTGAGATAGGCATAGAGATAAAACCTTGGTTTCTATCATGCATATTATTTGCATAGTATTTATGTTATTCATCAAATGCTGGGAATTACCACTCTAATGACTCTCATTTTATATTTCCCTGGTTTTCAAATGTTCTTTTGAATATGTGAAAATTTACAGAAGCCAATTTGTTTCCCAGTCTCCCTGGACCCTATCTGCTGAGGATCTAATAGCTAGCTATATAATTTAAAAGGTAAACATGAACGGAAGAGCACTAAAAGATGTTGTTGCAATGAACAGATTAAGAGACTACGGCAGTAAAGCAAAGTGATCCAATATACTCTTGAAGCAATACATATATATTGACTCCTGTGTGGAATTTCTAGCAAATGGCTCTTAGATACCAGCAATTTCTAGAAGCTTAGCTGTACCAATAGCCTTCAAATTAGTCCCTTCCTCTGGCTTGCATTCAGCCAAGTTTTCAGCTCATTTGGTTTCCCTCATGTATTGTACCTTTCATCGGATCATTTTCTTCATCACACTTTTAACTATAATTATTCAAAAATTTATTAAGGCATTTTGACCCCAAACCTAGTATTCAACACTACTTTCAATTCAACCACTAACAAAGTGCATCCTTTTATTTGCCCGGGGCATGTCCTGGTTTACTCTTTTAATTTACTGAAATCAAAAGGCGGCTTTGGGAGCGTGTTTCAACTCGCCCCATTATAAGACAGATGGAAGGATGATTTTTAAATGTTTATTTTATGCTTTAGAAAACACTTTAAATGCTTCCTTTTTTTTTTATATCTGCGCTTAACATCACATTTTAGGGTTACTTGGAGCACAACCCCCCTCCCCTATCCGGACCTCCCAACCTCTTTTACTCACCGGCTGTCTTTTGACACCTAACCAATTTTTCCAGACCAGGACCCGAAGCTGATGAAACTGGGAAGCCATCCTTCAAACACCACGCACCAGAAAATTCCTCTCTTCCTTCACCCGTCAAAAGAAGAATTAGTATACCTCTACCCCCGTCTAAATGCCTGTGAGTCAAAGGGTTAGAAACCTTTTCACGGCATAGCTTTCTTAGGGGCTGGGGTAAGAAACCCACAGGTCTTCTTTTCCTCTTGGATTTTTCTCTTGGGTTAATCCTTGACCAAGGAGCAGTTCTCAGCCAATGCTTCCTCCCAAACGAGAATCCAGACAAGTATCTTTCAGTGGCTTTTGATTATTTTAAAATAACATCCACTTGCTGTTTGTTGCATGAAGTCCAGACTCACGAGAGAATGAATATCATTCAGATAATGTTCCACTGTTAAAAAAAAAAAAAGCCAAACCCACACCTCCTACTCTCCATGAAATTAACTACCTATCCACACCTTCAAGAAGGTGTCACCTGCACTAGACACGTCATAAGGAATTAGGTGGACCCTTGCCAAGCCAGTAGGACTTGTCCTACATTCTCTTGCCTTCTTTACTACTTAGTGCCTGCTCTAGCAGAGGTAGGGCACAGAGAGCATTTACACACTCTAGGCCCAATGCTCTTGTAACATTCAAAGTGTTATGAACTTGTTTAAAGTCATTGAGACCAGAATTCAGTTGCAAAGCTCTTCATCTCAGCCTAGCATTAGGTATGATATAGAAAGTCTTAATTATTAACCTAAAGTTGAAAACTTTGATTTGAGCTGAAATGACTATGTTGGCTATCCATCTATCATAATTTACTGGATTCAATAAAATGCAGAAAGTAAAAGCTAGGTTACAAATATACAATGAATTTCCTCCTTTTGGGAATGGAGAGATATATACAGTTATAGGAAAGTATATTGTTTCAAGTTCTTATTGTTAAGAGATGTAGGCTGATCCAGGATATTTCTGATTGACTCTCTGACTTAAGTTCTACTTAAATTAAATACTTAAATTAAATTAAATTAAATTAAAATTCTACTAAATAAACAGAAGAAATTTACTGGAGATTAAGGGAAAAGATTAATTTTTAAGCACAACATGACAAAACAGAGAGACCTGGATTATCTTTCCCCTAGCCGCAACTAAGGAAAACAGAATAAAATGTGATCAAAGGAAAATTTAGAGGGTCAGTGACAGAAGGGACTATCCCATGTAGGTTTTTCCCTGGAGCCACCAACTGTCCTCCTTTGGTATAGTGAATCTAATTAGAGGGACTTTCCAGAGAGACACATGTGCACATGCAGAACCTTGGTTTCAGTACCTGGGAGTCTGGTTGACTGGTGTGAGCAAGGGAGGTTCCCTTCCCTTCCAGCAGAAAGATATGTCAAAAGGAACCTTGGTGGCAGCAACATATGGCTCAATAGTGGAAAGTCTGACTAAGGGCAGAGTGGGAGAAACCTGTCCTTATTCCCTGAAGAAAGATCCAAGTGAGAGATTCCTGGCACCCAGAAGTCCAGGTCTATCAGTAGGTAGCAACTATTACCTGGAAACCCGGAGCACATAGCCCATGCCTGCTACCCCTTGCCTGACAGTGCAAGAAGGCCTATGTCTGGCTGTGAGTGTCTGCAGACCACACATGGTGCCCACTGCCAGATGAGTCAAGTTTAGTGGGACGGGCTCCACACTGCAGAGAAGAGCACCAAACAGATAAGGTGAGAATCTATGATCTATGAAACAATGATAGGAGATTGCTTTGGAAAGAAAGAAGAGACAGAGGTGATCTACTAGATGGAAATTTCCTTCACTCTTCATTGAGACCAAGTATTTGAGACACACATTGTCCATTCTCCACCACCTGCCACCAAGGTAAGCAAAGAAAAAATTAGATTAAACCAGCCCCCCAAGACCTCTAACACTAACTAAATAAGGTAACACAGACACCTAGGAATCAGGGAATATCTGAGTCCTAAACAAAAATGGAAAAGCAGAAAGAGAACAGAAATCCAGAGACCTATAAAAGAACACCTAATAGACAATAGTTTTAAAATTACAGTTCAAAAATTCTAGATAAGGTAATGGAAGAGAAATCCAATGCAGAAAAATAGGTACATGACCTTAGAAAGGCAATCCAGGAACAAAAAGAATTTGTTACTAAAGAGGGTGAGAGTACTTTACAAAAAGAAACACTGACTGAAATGATGAATATGGAAATAGCTTCAAATAGAGTTAAGCTGATAGAAGAAAGATTTGAGAAACAGAAAACACAAAATGTACAAACAACACAAATATAAGAAGAAAAATAAACAAGATTTAGGAAAAAAATGAAGAAACTATGAAAAACATCAGATTCAATTAAAAGAAGAAAAGAAGGATAATGGTTCCTCCAGAAGAGGAAAAAAGAGAGAAGGCTACAGAGATCCTACCTATAAAGAGAATTAATAACTTAAGACTTCCTGAACCAAAAGTAAGGAAAAAACAAGGATATCCAGAAAGTAGGAGTACCCAAATTTCTAAATGCAAAATGAACTTCATCAAGACATATCATTGCTAAATTATTAAAAGTCAAAGATAAAGAAAAAACATATTCAAGGCTCTACCAAAAAGGAAAAAAGGTTAGAATATAACATCAGAGATATTCAATGAAGCTGTTAGATATCTCAGTAGTATCCTCTGGGTGAGAAAAGAGTGGAATGGAGTGTTCACAGCCCTAAAAGACAAAAACCAGCCATGAAGAATCTACCAGGAAAATTACCATTAAATTATGAAAATGAATTCAAAGGTTTCCCAGACAGATGAAAAGGTAATGGAATTGACTGTCATAAAACCTGCCCCAAAAGAAATGTTGAAAGGAGTTTTCTATAATAAAAGAAAATATAAAACATAAGACCATAGTATAGCGACACTAGAAAGGAACACAGAATCAAAGTAGAGACAAAAATAACATGAGGTTACAACAAAACACTGAAAGGGAGAGAAAAGGACCAGCTGGGTCCAGTTAGGTCTTACTATAGTTAGGTGATGGCAAGTTGATATCAGCTTATCAAGGGCTTGTTTTAGATACAGAAAGTTGGAGAACTATCAGGGTAACCACAAAGCAAAAAATCTAGAATAGAGATACAAAGAAGAAATGAAGAAACTTGGAGAATCACAGGGGAAACATTTCAAATGAAAAAGATAGAAACAAATGAGGAAAGAAATGAAAGGAAGATAAAATAATAAAAAACAAAGTAATGGCACAATAATTACCCTAAACAAGAACAGTCTAAACTCACCAGTAAGAAGGCACAGAATGAGAAAATGGCTAACAAGAAGTGTCAGGCATTTATCTATACTTTGCTTACAAGAAACTCATTTATGACTTAAAAACAGACAAACTTGAAGTGAAAGGCTACACTCCAAGGTATTTCAGACCAATAATGCAGAGAGAAAATCAGGAACTGATATTTTCATATTTGATAAAGTAGACTTTCAGTAAAGAAAAAAAAAGTAGTCAGGGACAAAGATGAGTAGCATATTGTCATTAATATTTATGCAACTAATATAGAGTCACCTAAATATATGAAACAACTATTCACAGACTCAAAGCAACACATTGACAAAAGCATAATGATTGTCCACAAACCACAAAGGAATAAATCACCCAAACAGTAAGAAATGAAGGCCTTAAGTGAATATTGAGTCAGATGAACTTAACAGACTTCCCAATGGAATGAATATATAATCTTCTCAAGTGCACCCAGAATATTATAAAGACTATATCTAGTACAAAAACATTTTTTAAAAAACATATTGAGGTAGGATTTAAATCAAACATCTCTGATCACAATGGTATAAAGCTAGAAGTTAACTACAAAAAGAACTCCAAACTAAACTAAAATATGTAAGGACTGAACTAAGTCTTTTGGAACAATTCCTGGGTCAATGAAGAAATCATTGGAGAAATTGTAAAATTATTTAGAGATGAACAAAAATTGGGAGACAAATTACCAAATCTGAGTATCCTGGTCGTTTTCACAGGGATGTTGAACTTTTTTTTTTTTCATGTGTTGGAGTAGCCATCTGAATGTCTTTCTTGGAGAAGTGTCTGCAATATTTAGGTTTCTACCCATTTTTTTTGTGTGTGTTTGGTTTTGTTGTTGTTGAGTGATAGGTATATTAACTGCATATTTTGGAAATTAACTCCTTATCACATGTGTGAGGCAAATATCTTCTAGGGTGTTTGTTGCCTTTTTCTTTTTGCGATGATTTCGAGATACAGAAACATTTTATTTTGGTGTAGTTCCACTTGCTTATTATATCCATCTTGTATTGGGTTGTATCCCCAAATAAATCTCTGTGCTTGGTGTCCAGTAATGCATTACCTTTGTTTTCTTTAAAGTATTTTATAGTTTCAGGTCTTATAGCTACGTCTTTATTTTGAATTAATTTTTGTGTGTAGATGTTAAAGGGACTTTCCTTATTCTCTTGTATGGTTACAGTTCCTTTGTCAAAGATTAACTTTTTTTTTAAAGGTTTATTTATTTATGCATACAGAACTGGGGTGCAGGCCAGAGGAGCAGGGGCGGCAAGAGGCTTCACCAGAGACAGAGTGGGGAGCAGAACAGGCAGATCTACGAAGTACACTGCTGAGGGGAGCAGCG